CGGGGCGGGGCGGGGCGAGGCGGGGCGGGTGATGAATGGGGGCTCTTCAATAAGCGCCAGCGCCACGCCCGACAACCTACCTGTCTTCCGCAAGCTACGCCAACAAAGCACCGCGACAAAATGAATGTACGCATCGTCGGGAAAATAAATATATGTATATACGCGGCGATTGGGAGTACGACACTAGCTAATGTGAGGCACAATTGCTCTACATTAGCAAATGTGAGGCACGAGTGCTTTACATTTAGAGATTTTAAATTTCCAAAAAAGTTAAAGTTTTCTGAAGAAAAAAAAATCTTTTTTTGACAGAACTTTTCCGTGTAATTTTGAAAAAAAAATCGTTATGTTTTTTTTTTTTGTTTTTTTTCGTTTTTACACAACTTTTCCTGATTTTTTCCAGACTTTAAATCTCTATCTACATTAGCCAAATGTGTGGCAGTAGTGATCCACATAGGCTAATGTAAGGAAACTGCGCGTTGCAGTAGGTAATTTTAGGCACCAGTGCTCTACACTAGTTGAAGTAGACGCAGTGTCAGACTTGAGTCCATTGTTTGATTTTACACCACATTCAATGAATGAACGCCATTGGGTCTGTGAGGAACTAAATCTCAACAATCTTACCTGAAATGACATTTTTTACTAGTACCCATAACGCCGTCTGGGAATTCACTGCTGCAGCGCTCCCGCCCGCCAGCCTGGGAGAGTTGTTTGCCCATCGGTCAGCGGAAAACGCCGCCGCCGCCGCTACGCCATGGAAAATACTACGCGTCCAATTAATTAATCATTCCCTTTCGCCAAGACGTCGAAATCTCTCTCTTAGCCACTCTCCCGCCCCGCCCACGCCTTCACTCGCTGCTCCATAATTAATTAGGTACAGCGACAACAATTACCCGCTCCCCCGGAATAACAAAAGAGAGCGGCAACCTTCTCGGCGTGCCTCACTTTCGAAATAATAAAAATTGACTCGGGGGAGAAGGGGGAGAGGGGCAGAGCGAGAGATAGATGGCAGGCACTGTAAATGTAACATCTTCTGTAAATCTACAGTATTTTTCGGAATAGCAATTTGAAAATAATATTCAAAATTTACGATCAGTGTGGTAAGTTTACGCTAGCCCTTTATAGCTCCTGTAGAAGAAAAACAAAAAAACACGTACCCCTCCCTACTGTCCTCAAAATTCAAAAACTGCACGGTTTCAAATCGTTACTTAAGTAACGACAATTGTCAATATATTTTATGGAATTTTTTCTGTTGAACCTGCAAATATTTTTCGAGTTTCGGAGGAGAGCAGAAGTGCGGGTAAGGAAACGTAAGCGCGATCAAGAGGTGATGTTCGGAACAAGCTTTTCTTTTTTTCGTGTTTTTTTTTTTCGAGTAACCCAACGAGGGCAGCGAGTGGGATAAATTCCAAGCAGAACGAAAAGGGGGAAAAGGACAAGCTGGTTTGACTCAAAAAAGGGCAATAAAATATTAGTGTCTAATTTTGGTCCAACTTTTAAAGCCAGGCAGCAGGGAGGGAAGGTCCGGCAGGCCCCACCCCCAGGGTGACTCCCCGAGGGGGTCAGGGGTCACTACGGCTGCCGCACTCGCTCCTAGCGCAGCGCGTGCCCCTTCGCGTGCCAAGGGGGGGACGGCGCCGTGTGCGTCGCGTGACCACGGGGTCACGGACATCCGGCCCCACGACCCACGTGACCAGCCGCACTCTCTTTGCGACGCAAGGCCAGATCCGGGCGAAGCGAACAATTTTGACAGTGCGCTGTTGGGCCGGGTTGGGCCGGGCGGTGGGGTTGGGTTGGTTTAGAGGAGAATGAAAGACACAGAGAGAAAGCCCTTGGTGGTGGAGAGTTTTGGGAGAGAGAGAGAAAGGGGCATGGAGCGAGCGCTTGGCGGCTGGGGAGAGCGGGGGAGAGGGGGCGGTAAGAGAGACAGCGAGCGCTTTGGCTGTCGCCAAAGAGGTCCTATAAATCATAGCCTCGCTCTCCTCCGCAGTAGGAAATCCACGTGCGCCAGGCGTACGGCGCGCACAGGCACCGAGTGGGGCTGGCCGAGGGGGTCTTGGAAGGGGTAGCGACGATTTTTTTTATAACTATCACTCAGTGGCGTAAACATCGCGTGCGCGTCCGTCAACGGAAAGTGAAGAAGATGAGCAAGGTGTGGGTTTAGGCGGAGGGGGGACAGAGCAGAGGGAGGGGGTAGGAGGAAGTGAAGAGGGGAAAGATACGGAGGGTAAACAGGGATGAAACATGGTGGGGGTAAGGAGGGGGGAAAGGGGTTTAGTAAGCAGCCTCATCTGTCATGTCTATCTCCAGCGGGTGCGTGTTTGTGTATTTTAGAGAGAGAGAGAGAGAGGGAGAGAGAGAGGGAGAGAGAGAGGGAGAGAGAGAGGGAGA